AGTCACGAACGATCCTCACGTATGCGTCATCAGCTCTCCAAACTAATGAAAGCATGTAAAGGTCATGCAAAGGGACTGTTTAACATCGTCGTTAGATTGTAGAACGAAGAAATACTTATAAAGGAAAAAGCCAACAAAAAAGGGATAGGCGATAAAAACATTTGTTTTTTTTTTATTTTTATTATTTTGTGAGAGACTGATACCAGTATTTCTTTCTAAAATATTTCTTTTTTTTTTTTTAAAAAAACTTGAGAGAGTTGTGAGAAAAAAGAAAAAATGTAAAGGCGCTTATTATATTTTTTGATCGCAAATTGGGGCTGGGTTGACGTAATAAATATTCATTTAATACGCCGGGTCAAAAATAGTTTATATATAAAAAGTTTGTCATGTGGCAATAAAGTGTAATTTTATTGGTAGATTAAAGCTTTATTGTCTATGTAAAATTTGATATGCCGATTTTATTAAGGTCTCATGATAAAAATTTTACTATAAAAAAAAATCCCTTGAATTTTCGTAAACTGACACGGTCGGGTCACAGAATCTGAAATTTTACTTTGCATGGCCTTGTCCCCTTAAAGATTGACCGATCAGATGGCATAATATTTATATATAAACTTTGTCTCCGGGTCGATTTTAAATTTCAATGTTACGTGAACCGAAAAATCGAAGTTGCATGCCTAATATCCATTATTAAAAGCAAAGTCAAGTGATTTGTAAATTACATACAAAATTTCCAAATAATCCTTTATTTAATAAATAGATCAAAGATTTAGCGTTAGTAACGTCGAAAAATTATTTGCAAGACTCTTTTCGCTAAAACGATCAAAACGAGACAAAGGGGTAAATAGAATAATAAATCATATATATATAAAACATATATAAGTAACAAAGACAAAAGAAATAAAACAATTAAACATGAATATATAAAAGTAAAGGGGATATTGTCATCGTAATTTTGTCGTGACTATGAAAAAAAAAAAAAAAAAATTATTTAGTATTCCTTTCGAATTTAAACAATTTAGAATATGACATCAATACTTACACGACTTGGATCAATTCTATTTCTGTATATTAAATAAAGATAAATTAAAATTTGAATTTTAAAATCAATCATTATGACATTAATAATTTACTTACATTAATTTATTGACCTTAAAAACTTCGTAATCTTCAATAAATAATTCTTGTTGAGGATTTAAAAAGAGTTTTGCTTCAGGATAAGAATTAAGACCACCACTTATAAGGATATTACTTATAATTGCTAAATCTCGATTACCAAAAATTGGACCATAACTATTATTAGGTGAATCGGACTGTGATGCACATCTTGCAATGATACCCGAATTCGAACTGAAATCATCTATATTTGTAAAAGAAAACAAAAAACTATCTTTAGAAGTTGCTGAAAATTTCCAAGTATCAGGGTTATATCCTCCAATTAATTCTCCGGTATCAATAGTTTTAGCAATCAATAATGTTGGACCTTTGTCATCACATAATTCATGAAATTTTTTGTTATCAATCCCATCCTTACTGGCTTTGAATATTAATTGAAATGAATAAGGCATGGTTCTACTATCATAATATTCATTATCCTTCTTATCAATCCAATTTGAAACCTTGACAAAATGCCATTTATGAACGATTACTGGATTGAAGGATCGTTTCCTTGGACTCATTAAAACCGATGAATTTGGTAGTAACCTTGGGTTAATATAAAAATTAATTATATCATCATAAAGAATTTCTGGAAGAATCATTTTATAAAGCCGCATGTTATGATGAAATAACGCCGAAGGAATTTGAAACCATCTAACTAGTGGAATAAGATCATGAAGGATTTCCCGCAACTTGTTAAAATCATCTTTAGTCCAGTTAGAAATATCATTAATATTGGCAGTACTCGACATTTGATCCACTCCCCACTTCAATAAAAAATCCAAAATGTTATATTCTTTTATTATGAGATCGTCTCTTTGAAGAAGGTATTTTAAAATTGGCTTATCCACTGTTAAAAAGTTTGGTGATTTAAATAAATACTCGGAATTTTCACATATTGAACGTAAACAAACGTCTTTTAGCGCAGTGAAAGGATCTTTTAGATGAAATACAATATGTAGAACTTCAGCTGGATCTTCTTTTATAAAAGATTTACTTTCAAAGTCATAATTTTTAATAATACGATCGCTTATTTTGAAATCTAATTCGTCTGTTGCTATTAGAAGGTTCAATACTTTTAGTCCACTGAGATTATCCAAATCAATAATTCCAGTATAGACATACCTTTTTTTATTACCCATTAAAAGTGAAAAGAAGAGAAGTCGTTGAAATATTTATTCAAAAATAAAAATAATTAAAATAATATAATTTCAACTTACTTCAATAATATCTCCATGACATCGGGATTAATATTCGGTTTTTTAAAAATAATCTTTCCGTTTACTTTATGCGCCCAATCGTTTGATAACGCAGTTTTAAAATAGGTTGATCTAAGGGTCAAGATCAAGGAGTGCACGTGAAATTGTTTTATATTTACGCTCTCCCCAGCTTCAATAATTACATCGTAATTATCCCCGAAAGATCGTAATTTTTCGAAATCTTTTAGTAATTCTTCAACATATTTTATCGGCATTTTTTTTTTTTTCGAGAAAGATTCAAGGGGATAAATTAATTTGGTTCCATTATATAATAAAAAATACTGAAAATCCTGAACATCCTGAACATCCTGCATCATCATGTGCAGCTCCCCCAAAATGCACATCGTTGATTGTGTCGCTATTACATTATCGTCGTTTATCCATATACTAATATACCAATTCGAGAAGCTGACAATTTTTATTATTATTTTTTTTTTTTTTGAAACTTTTTATTCTTATTTTGGGGAACAAGTATTTTCGTCCGACATGTGAATTTTCTTCACTATAACAAAAGTTTGCCATATCGAGAGAGAACCCAGCTTAGTGGATTTACGATGATCATTTTTTTATATTTATGCTTATTGTAAATCTATTGCAAATAAATAGTGGTTTTTTTCTTTAATTGCTAATTCTCTATTCATTGCTAATTCTATCATATTTCCTCATTAGGTTTCTTTTTTCTTCTTCTTCCAAATCTCTATCCTCTTTAGCGAGTAAAGTATCCAATCTTTGTAAAAACGGTTAACAAATACTTTATAAAAATCTTCACGATGCTTAAACCGATATACCAAGTATGTAAATCACCCCTAATGATAACCATGGTCACAAATTAATACTTCATCATACATAGGATTATCTGCAATAAATGGTTTGTTGCATAGGTCATAATTATTTGGTAAATGTGTTAAATCCAATTAGTAAGAACAATGGTATCAAGGACAATTTGTTTATAAAGGAAATATCATTTCTGCATTTATAATTGCCCGTAAAAACGGGTTTCGACGGGTCATTGGCAAAATTCTTGTTGGTAAAACCGTCGAAACTCGAAACCATAATAAAATCCCGTTAAAAGTCAAAACTATATTAAAGACTTAGTATATGTATGAAAGATAAATCTGAATAACTGGTGTAACATTGAATAACAAAAAATTTTTTATGATAAAACTTTTGCAAATTTTTTTGTATAAATTCTATAAAACTCTTCTCTTTCTTTTTTTGATTGTATCATTTTACATATATGAGTAATAGTTAATCAATTTAGTCAAATTGGTTTTGATTTATTGATTTTTCTGATATTTTAATGTGATTTTGAATTTTGAATTTGTATATTTGGCACAAATTATCTACTAATTTAACAGGTCGATGCATAGAATGAATTACATGACATGATAATCATCAACTCAAAAATAAAGATTATTATTCTATGTTTATTATATCACATAAATAAATAACTTTAATTTAGGTTTAAAGTTAAAATAAAATACAATAAAATTTTATTTAATAAAAATCATTACATTAGTTTTAACCCATAAACAGAGATAATGTTTTAATACATTCTCTTGAAGTTACACATAGAGTCCAATTTCAAATTTTTAATAACTAGAAAATAGCAAGAAGGTAACAAAATCATTAAACTGCTTTCTTTCCATTTTTCGCGTATTTTTTTACAATCTTGTTTTAAGATTTAATGCATTACAAATTATTTAAAAAACCCTTGTAGATTTGGTTCTTGTTCTCAATTAATGTGCAAAAACTATCTTGATATAAGTCCTTGTTTTTTTGCATGTCATGAAGAAACTTTGTCAAAAATTTTAATTATTCTCCAAAATATTCCGCATAAACGGGGTATTTTATTTTTATTTATACGAAAGAAACAACAAAAATTAATTGGTAATATTACTCTATTATTTATATCAAACTTTTTACCGGCGTTAAATTTATTTTAGGACTCTCCATCGAAATTTCCTCATAATGTTATACTTAACGTAAATTAATCAGCATTGCACAGTTTGCTTTTTTTTTTGGTAATAATATGACACGTTCGGGTCATATGATTTACATTTTCACGTGACTCTTTTTTATAACAATAAAAAAGAAATAATATACAGTACGAATATCTTATTTTGAATTATAATATTTTTGATGATACTTCGCTTCCCAAGAATTCTCGGCAAAAGGATGGCGCCATCACTTGTAACGATCGTCATCATATAATAACTTCCATTTAAAGTAAGTCATTCAGATCTTTATGACCATTAATATGGTAGAACAATGATATATCGATAATTTATATATATATCAATACTCGGAACGCATTTAACGAATTATTTTTTTTTTAAAAAAAAAAAAGCTTCTCACTAATTAATTTACCATGTCTCTGGATGATATTAGAGAAAGAGTTCTTTTGAATTCAGGTGGTGAGGAACGCGTCGAAGTCAATCAAAGACTTTTGATCGACAAGATTTTAGCTAGGTAAGTTCTTTTGAATCGATCGATTGTTCCGCAGAAATTTCGATTCATTATTTTTCCTCTTAGATACTCTTCTGAGTTTGTAGTATTCCGGGAGTTAATGCAGAATTCTGGTAAAAAAAAAAAAATTTCTTTTTTTTTTTTTTTTTTTTTTTTTTTTTTTTTTTTTCCACACCTTTTTATAATTTAATAATTTTTAAAAAAAAAGAATGGGGAACATCAAGTGGGCAAATTAAAATTGAAAAGGCCAAAACCAA